TAAAAAACCCAAATTTTTCAGGAAAAAACCCCAAATTTTTCAGGAATTCTCCCCCCCCAAAAAAAACCCCGATTTTGCAGGAATTCTACCCAAAAAACCCCCAAATTTTTCAGGAATTTTCCTTAAAAAACCCCAATTTTTCAGGAATTCTCCCCAAAAAAACCCAAAATTTTCAGGAATTCTCCCCAAAAACCCCAATTTTTCAGGAATTCTCCCCAAAAACCCCAAATTTTCAGGAATTCTCCCCAAAAAAACCCCAAATTTTCAGGAATTCTCCCCCAAAACCCCAATTTTTCAGGAATTTTCCTTAAAAAACCCCGATTTTTTCAGGAATTCTCCCCCAAAACCCCAATTTTTCAGGAATTCTCCCCAAAAACCCCTCCCGATCTCTTTTTCAGGAATTCTCCCCAAAAACCCCTCCCGATCTCTCAATTTTCCGCAGGGCTGTTGCAGGAGGCGCCGTTTGAGGCGGAAAATGAGGTTTTGGAGATTCTGGCTGGGAATTCCACCCAGTCCCTCCTGGAGCGTTGTTCCGGTGAGATCCCGGAATTCCCGCGGGGCCGCGGCTCCGTCCCCCCAAATTTGCGCTTTTTTGGCCGCTTTTCCCCCCAAAAATTCCGTCTTTTCCTTGGCTTTTTTCGCAGGAAAAACCCTCTCCTGGAATTCACCTTTTTTTGCTGATTTTCCCCCAAATTCCTGCCTTTTTTTTCCCCTCGAAATTCCATCCTTTCTCCTCTAAAATTCCATCCTTTTCCCAAAAATTCTGTCCTTTCCCCTAAAAATCCATCATTTTCCCCAAAATTCCAATCATTTCCCCCAGAATTCCCAATGTTTTCCCCTAAAAATCCATCATTTTCCCCCAAATTCCATCATTTTTCCCCAAATTCCATCATTTTCCCCCAAAATTCTCTCGTTTTCCTCCAAAATTCCATCGTTTTCCCATAAATTCCATCGTTTTCCCAAAATTTCATCATTTTCCCTCCAAAATTCCATCATTTCCCCCCAAAATCCAGTCCTATTTCCCAAAATTCCCTCATTTTCCCCCAAAATTCCCTCATTTTCCCCAAATTCCCATAATTTTCCCAAAAATTCCATCGTTTTCCCCAAAATTCCATCATTTTTCCTCACAATTCCATAATCTTCCCTAAATTCCATCCTTTTCCCCCAAAATTCCCATCCCTTCCCCTCAAAACTCCATAATTTTCCCCAAAATTCCGTCTTTTTTCACCAAAATTCCATCATTTTTCCAAAAATTCCCATCTTTTTCCCAAAAATTCCATCCCTTCCCTTCAGAATTCCATCGTTTTCCCCAAAATCCTGTCATTTTCCCCCAAAATGCCATCATTTTCCCCAAAATCCTGACATTTTCCCCCAAAATTCCATCATTTTCCCCCCAAAAATTCCATAATTTTTCCCAAAATTCCAGATTTTTCCCCAAATTCCATCATTTTCCCCAAATTCCCTCTCTTTTTTTTGGGTTCATTCCCATCCGAAGCCGGAGTTTTTCGCTTTTGACCATTTTTGGCCGCTTTTCCCCCAAAATTCCCGATTTTTCCTTCTCTTTTTCTGGGAATTTTCTCTCTCCTGGAAGGAATTTCACCTTTTTGGCCGATTTTTCCCCCAAAATTTCCGCTTTTCCCGCTTTTTTTGGGCGCTCCCGACGCTCCTGCTCCTCCCCCGCCTTTGTCCCGCCGCTTTCAGCTTTGTCCCAAAATGTCCTCAAAATGTCCCAAAATGTCCCCAAAATGTCCTCAAATGTCCTCAAAATGTCCCAAAATGTCCTCAAAAGGTCCCAAAATGTCCCAAAATGTCCCAAAATGTCCTCAAATGTCCTCAAAATGTCCTCAAAAGGTCCCAAAATGTCCCAAAATGCCCCTAAAAGTCCCCAAAATGTCCCAAAATATCTCCAAATGTCCCAAAAATGCTCCTGAAAGTCCCCAAAATGTCCCCAAATGTCCTAAAAACGTCTCAAAATGTCCCCAGATGTCCCCAATGTCCCCAAATGTCCCAGAAATGTCCCCAAAACATCTCCAGATGTCCCTGAGTGTCACCGAATGTCCCCAAATGTCCTCAAATGTCCCCAAAACCTCTCCAGGTGTCCCCAAATGTCCCCAGAACATCTCCAGATGTCCCCAAATGTCCCCAGATGTCCTCAAATGTCCTGAAATGTCCCCAAAACATCTCCAGATGTCCCCAAAACCTCTCCAGGTGTCCTGAAATGTCCTCAAAACATCTCCAGGTGTCCCCAGAACATCTCCAGATGTCTCCAAATGTCCCCAGAACTTCTCCAGATGTCCCCAAAATGTCCCGAAATGTCCCCAAAACCTCTCCAGATGTCCCCAAATGTCCCCAATGTCCTGGAAATGTTCCCTAAACATCTCCAAATGTCCCCAAATGTCCCCAAAACCTCTCCAGATGTCCCCAAATGTCCCCAAAATGTCCCCAAATGTCCCCAGAACCTCTCCAGATGTCCTCAAATGTCCCCAAAACCTCTCCAGGTGTCCTGAAATGTCCTCAAAACATCTCCAGGTGTCCCCAGAACATCTCCAGATGTCCCCAAATGTCCCCAATGTCCTGGAAATGTCCCCAAAACATCTCCAGGTGTCCCCAAATGTCCCCAGAACATCTCCAGATGTCCCGAAATGTCCCCAAAACCTCTCCAGGTATCCTGAAATGTCCCCAAAACATCTCCAGATGTCCCCAAATGTCCCCAGAACCTCTCCAGACGTCCCCAAAACCTCTCCAGATGTCCCCAGACGTCCCCAAAGCCCTCTGGGTGCCGTTTTTGTGTCGCAGAGCTGCTCTTCGGCCAGTCCCGCGCCCCTCCCCGCCAGGTCAACGCCGTCCTGGGCGGCTCCGTGCTGCTGGCGCCTCAACCTGCAGCTCCCCAAATGTCCCCAATGTCCTCAAATGTCCTCAAAACATCTCCAGATGTCCCCAAAATATCCCCAAAACATCTCCAGATGTCTCCAAATGTCCTCAAAATGTCCTGGAAATGTCCCCAAAACATCTCTAGATGTTCCCAAATATCCCCAATGTCCTCAAATGTCCCGAAATGTCCCCAGAACATCTCCAGATGTCCCCAAATGTCCCCAAAACCTCTCCAGATGTCCCCAGACGTCCCCAAAGCCCTCTGGGTGCCGTTTTTGTGTCGCAGAGCTGCTCTTCGGCCAGTCCCGCGCCCCTCCCCGCCAGGTCAACGCCGTCCTGGGCGGCTCCGTGCTGCTGGCGCCGGCGCTGCCGCCCAACCAGACGGTGAAGGAGATCGAGTGGAGCTTCTCGGGCGGCTCCGGCGCCACCATCCAGGTGGCCGAGGTGGGACCCGCGGGCTTCGAGCGGCCGGACCCGCGGGATCGCTTCGGGAAGCGGCTGGAGGTGTTCAACCGCACGGCGCTGCGCATCCGCCAGCTGCAGCGCGGCGACAGCGGCGTCTTCGGGGCCAGGATCAAGATGCAGCCGGCGCTGGTGGACGATCAGTCCTTCAACCTGTCCGTCTATGGTGAGTGGGGCTTCGTTAATTGGTTCATTTAATTAATTAGTTTGATTTAATTTGATTTAAGTTGGGTTTTGGGTGGGGAAACTGAGGCACGAAGAGGAAATGAGGTTTTAGTCACGGCTGGTGGACGATCAGTCCTTCAACCTGTCTGTCTACGGTGAGAGGGGCTTGATTAATTAGTTAATTTAATTAGTTAGATTTAATTTAGTTTAATTAGATTTCATTTAGTTTAATTTAAGTTGGGTTTTGGGTGGGGAAACTGAGGCACGGAGAGGAAATGGGGTCACAGCCGGCGCTGGTGGACGATCAGTCCTTCAACCTGTCCGTCTACGGTGAGAGGGGCTTCGTTAATTCGTTAATTTAATTAATTTGATTAATTAATTGAATTAATTCCTTTAATGAGGTTGGGTTTTGGGTGGGGAAACTGAGGCACGGATCGGCACAGGGGTGTCACCCGGGTACCACGGCGGTGTCACCCGAGTGTCACCCGAGTGTCACCGCGCTGTCCCCGCTGCCAGAGTCGGTGCCCAGCCCCCGGACGCGCAGCCGGCTCCTGGCCAGCACCCTGGAGTGGTGCAACCTCACCCTGCAGTGCCAGGGCAGCGGCAGCGGCGCCGTCAACGTCACCTGGAGACGCGACAGCGCGGCCGAGGGGGACCCCGGGGGTCGCCGGGTGTCGCCGGACGGCGCCGGGCGGCACCAGGTGTCACCCGACGGGACCACCCTGCGCGTGGCGCTGCCGCTGGCCGCCACCAACGTCACCTACGCCTGCACCGTCAGCAACCCCGCGGATCAGAAGGTGGCCGTGTTCGACCTGCAGGAGCTGTGCCGGGGAGGAGGTGAGAGCCTTCGGCGTCCTCGTCATCCTCGGCGTTGTCATTGTCATCCTCGGCGTTGTCATTGTCATCCTCGGTGTTGTCATTGTCATCCTCGGTGTTGTCATCCTCGTCATCCTCGGTGTTGTCATCCTCGTCATCCTCAGTGTTGTCATTGTCCTTGTCATCCTCATCATCATTGTCATTGTCATCGTCATCCTTGGTGTTGTCATCCTCGTCATCCTCGGCGTTGTCATCGTTGTCATCCTCGTCATCCTCGGTGTTGTCATTGTCATCCTCAGCATCCTCGTCATCCTCATCCTCATCATTGTCATTGTCATCCTCGTCATCGTCATCCTTGTCCTTGTCATCGTCATCATCATCCTCATCCTCATCCTCGGCATTGTCATCCTCATCCTCATCCTTGTCATCATCATCCTCATCATCCCCATCCTCCTCATCCTCGTCATCTTCATCCTCGTCATCATCATGACATCATGTCATCATCATGACATCATGTCACCTTGTCCTTGTCATCCTCGTCATCCTCATCCTTGTCATCATCTTCATCATCCCCATCATCCTCATCCTCGGCATTGTTGTCCTCGTCATCCTCATCCTCATCCGTGTAATCCTCATCCTCGTCATCCTCGTCGTTGTCATCTTCATCACTCTCATCCTCATCCTCGTCATCGTCATCCTCGTCATCCTCATTGCCGTCCATCCTCATCATCGTCATTGTCTTCATCCTCCTCATCCTCATCCTTGTCATAGGGAGGGTGACACACCCAGGGTGACACAGACAGGGGTGACACACTCAGGGTGACACACGGTGACACACTCAGGGTGACACTCTCAGGGTGACACAGTCAGGGTGACACACTCAGGGTGACACAGACAGGGTGACACACGGTGACACACTCAGGGTGACACACCCAGGGTGACACAGTCAGGGTGACAGACAGGGGTGACACAGTCAGGGTGACACACTCAGGGTGACACAGATGAAGGTGACACAGATGAAGGTGACACACCCAGGGGTGACACACTCGGGGTGACACAGACAGGGTGACACAGTCAGGGTGCCACCCCGCGGGTGACACCGCTGTCCCCGCAGGAGGCTCCTCAGCTTTCTCCACCTCCGGTTACGTGGTGCTGGCTCTGATCCTCGTGGCCGTCGCCCTCGGCGGCGCCTTCTGGTGCTGGAGGGTGAACAGCGAGAAGGCGGCGGAGGCAGGTGCGGAAAATCCCCAAATTCCCGAATTCCCAAATTTCCCGGTTTTCCCAGTTTTCGTTTTCCCGTTTTTCCCATTTTTTGTTTTCCCGGTTTTTTGTTTTCCCGCTTTTTCCCGTTTCCCGCTTTTTCCCGTTTCCCATCTCCCCGTTTTCCCTGTTTTCCTGTGCTCCCGTTTTCCCAGTTTTTGGTTTTCCCAGTTTTTGGTTTTCCCGGTTTTCCCGTTTCCCCTTTTTTTTTGTTTTCCCGTTTTTCCCGGTTTTTTGTTTTCCTGTTTTTTTGTTTTCCCATTTTTCCCGTTTTTCCCGGTTTTTTGTTTTCCTGTTTTTTTGTTTTCCCGTTTTTCCCATCTCCCCGTTCTCCTGGTTTTTTTCTTTCCTTTTTTCCCTGGATTTCCTCCCACTTTTCCCAGGGTTTTTCCCCATTTCCCCCCACTTTTCCCTCTCTTTTTTCCCACTTTTCCCTCTTCTTTTTCCCACTTTTTCCTGTTTTTTCCCACTTTTCCCTGGTTTTTCCCACTTTTCCCTCTTCTTTTCCCCACTTTTCCTGTTTTTCCCCACTTTTCCCCCCATTTTCCCTGGATTTTCCCTCTTCTTTTCTCCATTTTCCCTGCATTTCTCTCCATTTTTTACTCGCTTTTATCCCCATTTTTCCCCTATATTTTCCCCCATATTTTTCCCTGTTTTTTCCCCATTTTTACCCACTTTTGTCCCCGTTTTTTCCCCATTTTTTCCCTGTTTTTTCTCCCATTTTTTCCCTTGTTTTTTCCCGTTTTCCCCGTTTTTCCCATTTTTCCCGTTTTCCCCATTTTTTCCCTGTTTTTTCCCCCGTTTTTTCCCCCGTTTTTTCCCATTTTTCCCCATTTTTTCCCTGTTTTTTCCCCTGTTTTTTCACATTTTTTCCCATTTTTTCCCGTTTTTCCCCGTTTTTTCCCTGTATTTTCCCCCGTTTTTTCACTTTTCCCTCGTTTTTTCCCTCGTTTTTTCCCGTTTTTCCCCATTTTTTTCCCTGTTTTTCCCCCCGTTTTTTCCCGTTTTTTTCTCTTGTTTTTTCCCATTTTTCCCCGTTTTTTCCCCCGGTTTTTTTCCCCGTTTTTTTCCCCGGTTTTTTCCCTCATTTTTTCCTGGTTTTTCCCCCGTTTTTTCCCTGTTTTTTCCCCCGTTTTTCCCCATTTTTTCCCTGTTTTTTCCGTCATTTTTCCCCATTTTTTCCCGTTTTTTCCCGTTTTTTCCCCGTTTTCTCCCCGTTTTCTCCCCGCAGCGGCCGCGCCGCCGCCGGCCGAGGAGAGCCCCGGGGAGGCGCCGTACAGCGACATCGTCTGCAGGAGCCCCCCCGAGGGCAACGACCAGGTGGGGACCCCCAAATCCCAAAAATCCCACCGGAATTCCCAAAAAAACCCCCACGGGAAATCCCAAAAAACCCCATGGGAATCCCAAAAAACTGTGGGAATCCCAAAAAAACCCCATGGGAATCCCAAAAAAACCCCACGGGAATTCCCAAAAAACCCCACAGAAATCCCAAAAAACTGTGGGAATTCCCAAAAACTGTGGGAATTCCCAAAAAAACCCACGGGAAATCCCAAAAACCCCATGGGAATCCCAAAAACCTGCAGGAATTAAAAAAAAAAAAAGGAATTCCTGAAAAACCCACAGGAATCCCAAAAAACCCACGGGAATTCCCAAAAAAACTGTGGGAATTCCAAAAAAAACCATGGGAAATCCCAAAAAACCCCATAGGAATCCCAAAAGCTGCGGGAATCCCCCCAAAAAAATGGGAATTCCAAAAAAAAGAAGCGGGAATTCCAAAGAAATTTGGGAATTCCCTAAAAAAAATTTGGGAATCCCAAAAAATGCAGGAATCTCAAAAACTGGGAGGGATCCCAAAAACCACGGGAATTCCCTAAAAAAATGCGGGGATCCCAAAAACTGGGAATTATCCCAAAAAACCAGGAGGGATCCCCAAAAAAAGTGGGAACGCCAAAAACTGGGAGTTATCCCAAAAAATCCCGGACGAGACCCCAAAAATCCCGGACGAGACCCCAAATTCCCCAGGGAATTCTCAGCCCACGGGATTTGGGGTGGGGGGTTTCCCTCCAATGGGGACATTTGGGGGTCTCTGGAGTGTCCCCAAATGTCCCCAAATTTCACCCCGCAGGGTCCCAGCGCTCCCCCGGAACCCAGCGAATCCCAAAAAACCGAAACGACCCCAAAAACGGAAACGACCCCAAAAACGGAAACAGCCACGAAAACGGAAACGACCCCAAAAACGGAAACAACCCCAAAAACCGAAACGGCCCCGAAAACAGAAATGACCCCGAAAACGGAAACGACCCCAAAAACGGAAACGACCCCAAAAACGGAAATGACCCCAAAAACGGAAATGACCCCAAAAAGTTCCCCGGGGGGGGACGAGAAGGGTCAGAGACCCCCCGAGGACACGGCCGAGGAGGTGACATAGGGCCACAGGTGAGGGGACCCCAAAAAGGGGTTTGGGGACCCCAAAAATGGATCTGGGGACCCCAAAAATGGATCTGGGGACCCCAAAAAGGGGTTTGGGGACCCCAAAAAGGGATTTGGGAACCCCAAAAGTGCCGGGGTTAAAGGGTTGGGGTGACCCCAAAAAGGGGTTTGGGGACCTCAAAAAGGGGTTTGGGGACCCCAAAAATGGATCTGGGGACCCCAAAAAGGGGCTTGAGGACCCCAAAAAGGGGTTTGGGGACCTCAAAAATTGATTTGGGGACCCCAAAAATGGATCTGGGGACCCCAAAAAAGCCAGGATTAAAGGGTTGGGGTGACCCCAAAAAGGGAATTTTGTGGGACCCCAAAAAGGGATTTGGGGACCCCAAAAAGGGGTTTGGGGACCCCAAAAATGGATCTGGGGACCACATAAAGGGGTTTGGGGACCCCAAAAATGGATCTGGGGACCACATAAAGGGGTTTGGGGACCCCAAAAAGGGATTTGGGGACCACATAAAGGGGTTTGGGGACCCCAAAAATGGATCTGGGGACCCCAAAAAGGGAATTTTGTGGGATCCCAAAACCCCGGGGTTAAAGGGTTGGGGTGACCCCAAAAAGGGAATTTTTGGGACCCCTCGACCCCATAAAATCGGGAATTAAAGGGTGAGGGAGGAGGAAGGACCCCAAAAAAAAGGGGATTAAAGCTTTGGGGAGGGGGTTCCCCCAAAAAACCGGGACCCCAAAAATCGGGACCCCAAAAAACTGGGAATTGTTCCCACAGGGCCGGGAGCTCCTGGAAGGGCTGAGCAGCGTCTTGTGCCAAACCCCGACCCCAAATCTGACCCCAAAATCCCCGGATTTCACCCCAAATCCCTGCCTGAGACTGATTTGGGGAGGGGGATCCCAACCAGAGGTGCTGGGGGTGGGATTTGGGGGGCCCCTGG